AACGCTAAACCTAACGCTAAACCTAACGCTAAACCTACCCCTAAAACAAACCCCTAAAACAAACCCCTAAACCTAATCCTAACCCTTACCTTAATTGAAGTCGGCTTTCTGCCGCGGTGCTGTTTTAAAGCACCCTTCTGTTGCCGCGCTATTGTCGCGGCGGTGATGACGTCGCGGCTTTAGCACCACGATTTTGACGAGCACGGTTTTGTCGTGCCATGGCCTGACTTTACTGCAGCCAATACCTTTAGTAAAAGAACCCTTTGCTTTAACCAAAAGGGAGTCGAGGGTCTTTCTTTCCTAAGGGACCAGATTGGGGCAGGCCTGACACAGGGTACTGTCCACCTGGTGCAGCAAGCCAGGCAGTGCTTGCTGGAGAAGAGCAAAAGACAGCATACTCCTCCCCCACCCGATGCACATGGCCTGGCAGTAGCCGCAGGGCCTCTTGGTTGCAGACAGTCTTTTTCTCGCCAAGGAAATGGCAGTGATGCTGGCGCGGCATCCACAGTGGCTCAGCTGGTTGGGGACGAATGGGTATTGAACGGCACCAAGGCCTGGATCACCAACGCCTGGGAGGCCTCGGCCACCGTGGTCTTCGCCACCACAGACCGAGCCCTGAAGCACAAGGTAGGCTCCAACCTCAGCCGTGCTGGTCAAGCGGCTGATGTCTGTGGAGGGAGGGAGGGAGGGCCCGGGGAAATGTCTCCAGGGGGGAGAAATCTGGAAGATGCAGAGGAGACCCCAGTGGTCATCAGGCGTCCAAAGGAAGGCATGAAGTGGTGGGAGGAGGGCCTGATCGGAGGCACAACCTCCCCAGGGATGGCTGCTGCTGGACAAAGGACTTGGGGAGGGGGGGCTGGGTCCAGAGGCAGAGGGGGTGACCCTCCTTGAGGGCTCCCTTGGGAGGAGGGGAAGCTGCCCCCACCCCACCCCCCTTCCCCTAGGCAGCGAAAAGCCAGCCGTGGCTTTGGGGCTTCTGGAGAGCCCCTGGGAAAGGCTGCTGTTGGTTACAGGGCATCAGCGCCTTCCTTGTGCCCATGCCGTGCCCGGGCCTCTCGCTGGGGAAGAAGGAGGACAAGCTGGGCATCAGGGCTTCCTCCACCGCCAACCTCATTTTTGAAGATTGCCGCATCCCCAAGGAGAACCTGCTGGGCACGCAGGGCATGGGCTTCAAGATCGCCATGGTGAGTGGAGTGGGGATGGGAGCAGGGAGCCCCTCGCCCAAACCCACCCCAAGGCCCCTCCCCCATCGCCTCCTCGTCTTCTCCTCAGCAAACCTTGGACTCCGGCCGGATTGGAATCGCTTCCCAGGCCTTGGGGATCGCCCAGGCGGCTCTGGATTGTGCCGTGGATTACGCCGAGAAGCGGCTGGCCTTTGGCCACCCCATCACCAAGCTGCAGGCCATTCAGGTAGGGGGTGGGTGGGCAGGCCCCTCCCCCTGCTCTCCTGCTGCTGCTGCTCTCCTTCAAGGGACTCCCAGAAGAGGCTCATGGGGTCAGGGAGGTGATTAAGGGAGTTCTGGGCCCAAATGACCCAAGACAGCCCTCCCCCGGCCAGTTTGGTCCTCCAGCCCCCGTCCCAGTGGATGCTGGGGCTGAAAGCTGCAGAATAACAGAGTTGGAAGGGACCTTGGAGGTCTTCTAGTCTAAGTCCCTGCTCAAGCAGGAGACCCTTTAGTCCTCCATCTACAACTACAATTGAGCCCAAAACTTCTGTTGCTAAGTGAGACAGCTGTTAAGTGAGTTTTGTCTCCCCAGTTGTTAAGTGAATCACTGCAGTTGTTAAGCTAGTCACATGGTTGTTAAGTGAACCTGGCTTCCCCACTGATTATCAGGAGATTGCAAAAGGAGATCACATGATCCCCAGGACACGGAAACTGTCATAAATATGAATCAGTTTCCAACTCTCTTGAATTTTGATCATGTGACCAAGGAGCTGCTGCGACGGTCATAAGTATGAAAACTGATCAATCAATATTTTCAGTGCTGCTATAAGGTTAGATGACCCCCGCCCCAAACAAAAGTTTGTAAGTTGAGGACTACTGAAATGGGGTAGGGAACTATGGCCACTTTAACCGCCCGTGAATGTCAATTCCCAGGATTCTTGAACCAGCCAGGAATTCTGGGAATTGAAGTCCAGGTCATAAAATGGCCCTAGTGGCCCACCTCTGCCCTATACCGTTCACATGTGACCTCCCACCCACTTCATGGAGAATGCCCCTGCTCCCCTTTGTGGTATCCACAGCCTGCAGCACTGGGGCGCCGTCTTCCCTGCAGCTAAGCGAGGGTGGTTCCCTAACCAGAAATCATGCCGGATTAGACTTAATGGTAACCCTCCCCCCCTTCTAGTTTAAGCTGGCTGACATGGCGGTGGCGCTGGAGGCGGCTCGTCTGCTGACCTGGAGAGCAGCTGCCTTGAGTGACAAAGGAAAGCCCTACACAAAGGTAATCTCCATCTTGACCAACTGGAGCATCTTCTGAGCAGCCTAGAAAATGGCCCAGGAGCGCTTGTGGTCTTTTGAAAGGGCGTAATAATTAGCTTCTTTAGCAGGAGGGTCCTAACGTGGCATTTGTTAAGACTTGTGGGAACCTCAGTTCCCAGAATTCCCTACCCATCTTTGCTGGGGAAGACCTCCAGAATTAGAAATTCATTTCCAAAACAGCATCCATTGAGGAAGGAATAAGCGGCATCTCAATAATTTCTTAATAATTGTCAATTGGGAGGGGGCACCTGTACGATCCTGCACTGGGCCCTGAAGCTCCTCCCTGGTGTAAAGGCCCCCCCAGCCCTCGCAAGGAAGACGCTGCTGGGATTCCCAGGCCTTGCAAAAAAGCAGCAGATTTCTCCTTGGCCAGAGAACTCTTTTGAGCTTGGCTTGTCAAAAATTCAGAAAATGCCTGTCTTGACTCTGCTGGCATCTCACGCACTCACTCACACACACACTCACACAGGACCCCATTTCCCCTGCCCGAAAAAAGGAGGAGTTGCATGATTTTTGGAAGCCTGAGAGGCCCTGCGAGAGCAAGACCCTCTTACACGGTTTCCAGAAGGTCCGGAGGCCTGGCATGTTACCGGTGTCACACATATCATACATGTAACTTGAGCCTCCTAGGGAGGGCTGTGCCAGGTAGCTTCTCTGCTTCCTTTCCCTAGGAGGCGGCCATGGCCAAGCTGTCGGCATCCGAGGCAGCGACTTTCATCTCCCACCAGGTGAGTCCCAGGAGCTCTGATTCTTCAGGGGAGGTTGCATGGCCAACCACCAGCAGCAGGTGAGTTGCGTTTCTGTTTTGTAAGAGAAGAAGATCCTGGCAAAACCTGGGGATTAAATCACTGGGAGACGGACCCGGTTTGCAGAGAGCTGCCCTCCCTTCCACCCGTGCCAGAACTGGTGCTGTTCTTTCAGGCGATCCAGATCCTGGGTGGCATGGGCTACGTGACAGAGATGCCGGCCGAGCGCCACTACCGAGATGCCCGCATCACCGAGATCTACGAGGGAACCAGCGAAATCCAGAGGTTGGTGATTGCGGGGCAGCTGCTAAAGGCCTATCGAGGCTGAAGGGGAGGACAGCTACGGAGGCCTCTGAAGAAGAGAGACGCGGGCTAACCCTTAGCTCAGGGACTGGCTTAAGTGGAGGACATCCGCTCCTTGGCTCGCCACAGAAGAGAGCGGCTGGGCATTCAGCTCCTCTGATGATCACGTTTCCGATGGAGGCCAAGAAGAGGCACCTGGAACAACCAGGGGAAGAAGGACCTGGGAAATGGGTGCCCGGGTGCCTCGTATCCTCTAGGCCAGGGCTCTCCAACCTTGGCAACTTTAAGACTTGTGGACTCCAATTTCTCAGCAAAGCTGGCTGAGGAACTCTGAGGATGGAAGTCCACACGTCTTAAAGTTGCCAAGGTTGGAGAGCACTGCGCTAAGCTCTAGCTCAGATCTACTCTATCATGGGCCACACCAATTCCAGTGGAGCCAGAAATGCCCAGGTGCAGCTTCTCTTTGTCTTCAGTGACAGCTGCAAGAAAGCAGGTTGTTGGGAATCAGATCAGAGAGAAGATATTAACCAGGGATTGGGAAGCGACCCGAATCAACTGCTGAAACCAAGCTTGAAGAGTTGCTGGTGTTGGTGGCAGTGAGCGAAGCGTAGCCCCGAGAGTCCCAAGTGCCTTGTTTGTGTCCCAAGCCAAGTTTCCTCCGCTCCAGAGGCAGGGGCCCCCCTTGATGCAATCAGAATAGACTATTAAATTTGAGCACTGACACCTTGTTGTATCGTTTGGTTAATTGCAGTCCTTTTTTGAACCCACATTCAAGGGCCAAGCCTGCTGCTTGCTAGAACTCTGAAGTGGCAGAGGGTCCCTTGAAGCTTCCCAGAGAAAGGGGGGGGGACTCTGGCTGGGCCTTGGCTCCCCCCTCAAAGTGGTTTCCTTATCAGGCCTTTTTCTCTGAACATTCAACTGACATTTAACCATCCCAAACTCGCCCAGCCGGCTCTCAGGCCTGAGGTGAGACGAGAACTCTCAATCTCCTAGTTTCCAGCTTGGAGCTTTTTTCGTTTGTTAATTTTAATTTGCTTTCCCCACCATGTCCTGGAGGTTGAAGTCAACAGGTTAGTTGTCAAAGTTGAGAATAACAAGTTAGCACTGGACATTCCCAGGCCGATGATTTGGGCAGGTTCAGTTCGCCTTCTCCAGTTATGGATGCTGAGATAATCATGCGCTTGTCACAGGCACTCAACTCAGGAGCCTGACCACTCATGATCTTGGAGCAGAGGCAGCAATTTGAATTTGGGGAACGTTGACAAATCAGATATCATAGCCTGATTAATGTTGATGAGCCCATCTCAGTCCCCAAAGGAGACAGAAGGCTCTGAAGAACATCTGTTGAGCCTCTGGCATTCAGAGATAAGATGCCAAGACACCAGTTGAGGTGAAGAAAGTCGCCTCTTGTGAAATTACCTGGGATGAGCCTGCAATGGTTGGTCTGAGGGAGTGGATCTTGATCCCCTAGGACACCAACTCCACCGCCTCTTTTGGTCTGGATCCCTGCCTTTTCCGATCAGTGGAACTGCTCTCCTTGTTCAATTAGACATCACTTAGCCTGATTTGGAGAATTAACAACCACTCCTTGATGCTTCGTAGTGAAAGTTCTTGAGTAAGTTGTGGGTCCGTAACTCTGGAGGAAATAGATTTTCAATTGGTTTGTGAAACAATATCCATGCTTTTTGATGACTGGTGTATCTCTTTGAGTTTTCAGCAGCCTTTGATTAAATCACAGCCTGGGTCTGGGCCATATCCTGCGTTTGGCAATCGGTGGAACATTTTTTAAGAGTGCTTGTCCTTCTGCTAAGTTGAATCCAGCAAATGGCAGTGGGAGAAGTGGAGCCCTTCAGCTGTGGGTGGCCACAATGTTTGACTCCTCTACAACATCTGTATGAAGCCTGGCAGGTTATTTCTTGATACAGTATCAGCAGGCCAATATTTAGCTGGGTAGCATCAAACCACAAAGCAGTGAGCAGAAGTCAGAATCTAGTAAGATGGCATTGCTTTGGATCCCAAGACTCTCTGAGTCCAGGAAGATTCCATCCTCGCTGATGGGAGGGCTGCACTCCCTTCATTTAAAACCGGTGAACCAGAATCACCAGTGGACTTGTGGCTTCTGCCTGAAGGTGGCAACGGCAGCCAACTGCCAACTTGCACAACTGCCTCTTGTTTCTGCGCCAGGACATCATTTGCTCTGTCATGCCTTGTGTGATGACCCCGGGCATGGCAGAGGCAAACCAGTCTGCTGATAGTTCAAACCGGCCCTTTATTGCTCCAACTTTCCCCCAAACGCTCCCACATTTCTGGCAAGTCCCAGAGCAAAGTGATCTCTCTCTCACACACCCCTCCAGCAGCCTCTGGCTGCAAGGAGTCCAGCACAATACTGTGAGCACAACGGCTGCGAAGCAAGAAATCCAGCAGGGCAAAAGAATAAGTCAATGAGTCCAGGAAGCCAGAAAGCAAACAAGAAGTCCAGGAAATGTCAAACCTCGGCAATGGCACAGAACCCCCCCCACGAATTCAGGGTTTGTTCCCAACAAAGGCCCCTCCCCGCAGTGGCTCCTTAAGTCTGGGTCCCCAGGTGGGCCTTGTGAAGAGGGGCGGGACACTCTCCTCCCGAGTAATTGGGTCAGCCTGCGCTGTTCCCAGCTTCTCTCCACTCTCTGTGCTCGAGGATCCTGGAGTGGGTGGGCCTTGCTCCTCCCTTGAGCTGTCTCCCGTGTTCACTGCTTAGCCTCTCTTGGTCCTCCTGTCCTCATTCCTCCCTGGGCCTGGCACTTTTAGTTGGATTTAGTTGGATTTCTCTCTCTCGGGCTGCCCTGGAAGGCCACCCGGAAGCTAAAGGTGACTCTGAATGCAAACATGGATGTTGTAGTGTTTCCTCAGTGCAATAAGATTAACTTTTGTTAATCTTTTCACTTTTGATAGTGGTTTAAGTTATATATTTCCCATAACTATTTAAAATATAATAAAGATATTGCAGGTAAAATTGGTCTGGGATAAAAAGAAAGTTCAAAATGCACCATTCCAGGATTAATAACTAGAGAAGTCGCACAAGTGTGGGATCTACTTTTCGCCCATCGCAATTGGAAGATGTCAGCAGGTGGAGGGGATCCTACAGAGTCCAGGAAGCTCAATGTTGGGCTGTTGAGGAACTCCGTCCATCTTGGTGTATCTGCGTCTGCCCTTTCACCCCAAAAACAGCACAATCCAGCTACAGTTGCCCTCAACCTATCACTCTTCATTTAACAAGGATTCACATTTACGATGGCCTCAGAAAAGGGGGCTTGCTTTGAAGTTACAACTCTTACATCAACTTTGCGGTCACATGATCACAACTTGGGTGCTCGCATTACAACAATTGTGGCATCTTTGCAGTCAGTTTGCCACCTTCCCAGCTGGCTTCTGACAAGCAGCCAATAGGAGAAGCTGGATTCACTAGGCAATAGTGATTCACTTAATGACCACGGTGATTGACAACTGTAGTAAAAAATAGTCAAAAAATTGGGTCTGATCACATAACGATTTGCTTAATGACGGCATTGCTTAGCAACCCGAATTCAGTTTAAGGGCTACCTGAACCTGTACAGTTACACCACGGGAAAAGAAAGTGTGAGCTTCTGAATCAAAAATAGTTAACAAAATGTTTAAGCAAGTCAACAAAGAATGCTGCTTCTGCTGCTGCTCCTCCCGAGAAGCTTTTTCCAGGATCATCCTTGGGACTCTGCTGGATGGCAGGTTCTTCCTTGGTTCCTGATACTACAGCAGGGTCTAGGCAACACCCTGTACAGCCAGCCTTAAAACACACAAGGGCGGGATGACCAAGAGTTGGAGAACTGCTGAAAGTAACCTTCCCTGGGTTTTGGGGAGGCTCAGCCATGCAACAAAACTTGGGTACCTTAAGGGACAACCCATGTTAGGAATAAAAAAATAGGGCCTGGCATCTTGTTAGACCTTCTGGGCCTCTCAGTGGCCATCTGTCCAGCCACCCTGGAATCCTTCCAGAGAAGCTGGCAAAGCTGCCCTCTGAAGCAGTGCTTGGGCCAGGCAACAGATTGGGCAAGAGCCAACAAACAGGGACTCAATCCAGAGGAGGAGGAGACCCCAACTGAGGTTTCTGGCCACTAAGTTGTCTCCAATTGGCAGGGCTTAGCAGAGCCATCTCCACCGGCTCCAGCGCTGCCCACCCCAGCTGGCCTCTGCACGTGCCCTTGGGCAGCTGTTCTTAGGAAAAGGACCTTCTGCTCTTCTGGGCCTTCGTTCAAACTCAAGTCCCAGCTAAAATTATGGTCGAAAAAGGCATGGACCTTGCCTACAGAGTTGGGGAATTTAAATAACAAAACCTTCACCAGTTTCTAGTCATTTTATAGCCACGGTGGGAGAACATGAAGTGAGCCATTGTTTCCTCCCACTGAGACAATTCAAAGCAGAAAACGAGAACAGTTTTAAATAGAAAGTAAAATGTGTAATTTGATATAACACAACCCAGCATCGACTGCCTGTATAATAATTTTACCTCCCTCTTTTTTCTCTCTTAAGGGATCAAAAACCAAAACATTTTTAAATGGATTTGAAGAAACCAGACACTGACAATCAGTGCCTCAATGACATATAATTTTGACACATCTCATTAAATAAATTAGAGCCACAAGCACAAATTAATATATACTTTATAAGATGCTGGGATATTAATTATAGTACAAGTATAGCATCCACTTTGGAGCTGCTTTTTAATGGACTTGTAAAAATATGACTTCTAAAAAGTATGGTTTAAAAATATGCGTACATTGGGAATATTTTATAGAAAGGCATGGTCTGAGCAGAGCAAAATAAACACCACATATGCGCTTCTTGCACAGCTGAAAATCCCAGTCACTCTTAACCCATCGCAGCGCATCGAAAGGCCCTCCAGGAGGAAGGTGGATTGACACCACGAGACCCCGATCATCGCAGGCTTCCCAGCTGCTTCCAGGCCCTTCGACAAAGTCCTCCCTCCTCAAGTGGCCAGATGTGCTTCTTGCCTGCCAATTCCCAGCCCTCAAGCCAGACAAGAAAAGCCCAACAAACAGTTATCATGGCTTCAAAAAGTTCTCCCATAACCTGCAATTTACATCAATTTTCCATGCAACTGGGTAAATTCTCCTAGGAGCACCAAAACTGATTTTAAGACAAGGGATTACATTACTATCGCTGAGAACAAGAAAACTATGTCTGAGAATTGAAAAATGATTGAAAGTGACAAGAACTTTCAACTGCAAAAAAACCTGGGGATTTCAGCAAGGAGTTTCAAAATTTAAGCCCAGGCCCACCAAGAGTTTTGTGGGTCGGGGGTGGTAGAGAAGGAGGGCGTGCAAAAATCCAATATGCAAAATTAGTGGACCAGAAGTCAGAGAAGGGCTTGGTCCCCTTCATAAAAGAAATCTTGCCTCTCTAAGCAACCTACAAGCACCTTCATTGCTGTCACATATGCAAATGCACACCGGCCGCCAATGAAAGCTTTTAAGAGAATCTGCATTTGGAAGTGAATTCCTGCCCTGTGACTTGAACACATGCAAAATAAGGTGGCTCTTTTTCCAAAGGTCTGTGCTATTCAAATAGTCAAAGTGACTGAAGAAGAAGTTTAAAGCAAGCAAACCTCAAGATACAGCCGGGGTCGGCCTGATGAGTCTGAGAAATGTGCAGGGATTCTTAGGATCGGCTCCAATTAGTCAACTAAGCCAAGATAAACTGTGAGTCTTTGATGCACAGTACAAAAGCTACATTTGTTTGGAAATTGCAAGTCCTGAATTTGTTTAGAACAAAAACTTTAACCTGCTCCAGACAGACCATTTGACATGGACAACAGAAGCAGCCATCTTTAGAAGTCAAGCAGCTCTTAAGACCTGGATGGATGTAGGGTGGCCTGCAAGTTCCATGAGGGAGAAAAGATGGGAGAGACACACATAACACAGAATCAGAGAGTTGGAAGAGGCTCTGGAGGTCTTCCAGTGCAACCCATGCTCAAGCAGGAGGCCCTCTACTGGGCTGTCCAATCTTGGGAATTGAAGACTATGCTGGCTAGGGAATTCTGGGAGTTGAAGACCCTAAGTCTTAAAGTTCCCAAGGTTGGACACTTTTGCCCCCTTCTCCATTCCAGATAAATGGCTGGCCAATCTGTCCTTTAAAAACCTCCAGGGATGGAACACCCACAACGTCTGGAAGGAAGCTCTGGGGTTCCCCTAATTTAAGAATTGTGTTCCTGTGCCACTTTTCTCAAGGTGCCTCCTAAGCTGGAGACAAAGAGGAGGTCCTCTGCATCAGAGGATGCCATCTCCTGCAGGCACCTAAACCAGATGCTTCCAGGAAGCTCTCAAATTGGACAGAAAAATGAAGGCAACATGGAACTTGCTGAGGAACACAGAAAGCAAACAATGAGGGGATAGTTGCATACCAGGAGATGGCTGCCCATGTGTGACAGCCACGCATGGCCAGTCACAGGGGCAATGAACCACCTCAGGTCCAACCTCTTAAAAGCAACTCTAGGGAAGGCCTGTAACCTGCTGGGATTTGAGATTTTACAGGCCCAAACCTTTCCAATAGAAAATCAGAAACTTTTCTTTTGATCAGAAAGAGATCGTTATGCCGGGAAACTTTGAAACGGTTGATCTGTCACAGTTAACACAACAGAACCTGGACAATTTGTTTAGAAAAGTCCTTGTTTTTAAGAGACTCCCAGGTACAAAGTAGTCATCATAAACGTTGACCATCACAACAGCAGAGGGTGGGGTCCCCCACTTTTAAACACTGGGTAATGGGGAGAAATACAACACACTAATGAAACAATGCAAAAGAAATTACCAAAAAATAGAAAATAGAAAAAAATGTATTTACAAGTCATACATTACTATGATCAGAACACACGAAGACAACAGCTGCTATAATACATGCATTAAGTCAAGAAGAGAGCTACTAAAAACTGTAATGGACAAGTTGTAAAAAACAAACCCACAAACAAAACGAGGCAGGAAGGAAAAGGCTTCGTCTTTCTTCCTCCCCTCAGTTTGCTACATTGATTGCAAATCAAAAGAAAATCCCCTAAAATCCAGGAGGACATTCGGTACAACATACTACACCTTTAAAAGAAAACGAAACCGGAAGCTTCACTCGGGGTGGGGGGGTGGGGGGGAGGGTTGTGGAACAGGGAGCGGCATGGGGCTGTTTGCAGATCCATATACAAGAAAGCTATTGTCAACTGCTCTACATGCTCAAAATTACAGCAAGCCCCTCTCAGCTACAAAGCATGATCCTAGCAGAGTTTACCCTTGCAGTGTGGGTTCACACACATAGACAATGCTATATGTGCATATGCCTGTAGGGAAATATAAAAGGAGGAGGAGTGTAGGAGAGTGAGAGTGTGTGTGTGTCTGTGTGTGTCTGCGTGTGTGTCTGTGTGGTGCTCTTATTCACTGCATTTATGATATCAGGGTGGAAATGTAACTTGTTACAACAAAGTTTTTAATCTGGTGTAATAACCGCAAGAAGTCAATCAATGTCTGTGGATGTCATAGGTCACCTCACACCACAGGAGAAAATAAATGGAAGAGAGAGACAGAGAGAGAGAGTACAGTGAGAAGAAATTCAGTTCTTTCCAAAACTGGAGTCCAATGGAAAAACAGGATCCAAAGTACAGGTGGGGTTTTCCAGGAAACTCCAAGTGCTGTGGCCATTTTTCCTTGTAGTGTTCCCAAGTTCCTCCATGACTCAGCGGTGGTGCCGTTTTCTGGTCTAGGCTACCTCCTCCTCCTGCCCCCCTCAAGAAGAGCGGATGGTCTGGCACTGAGTTGTAAACAGGAGGGGGGCTGGGAGGAGAAGGGAGCCAGGCAGGGGGGGGTCTCCAGTCACAAGGAGGGAGGCTGGAGGGGAAGCCCGGCCGCTCTGCCCTCTCCTCTGGGAAATACAGCAAGTCCATTTGTACAAGTTCCACAAACTGGCAATGCTCCTAAGTACCAGCCCAGCCTCAGGCACCCGCAAGCAAGCTGTGAGTGAAAAAAGGACCAGGCAGAAGTTTGGCTGCTGTCCGTCTGCTCCATCATACCTCCAAGAACCGTGAGCTGCTGGACTTCGAATGGAATGGCTCCGACCACATGCGGCGCAGATCGCCCTGCAAAAAGATGGGATGATTTATTTAGCTTACAGCGTATCATAGGTGGACTAGCAATGTATATATGAACATTTCACCTAGATTAGTAACATACAATAAAAAAATAAATGTTAAAAAGATCTATGTTCAGTCTCTAAGCCATGTAACCATTGAAGTGCAGTATAGTTTATATTTTTTTTAAAAACCAGATGCTGGGCCGCTATGGGCCCTCGGCTCACAGATGATTATGATGTGATCTACAGTTTGATGTGGGACCCCGCAGCCCCACTGAGGGGAGGAGGCTTTGCCCCATTTATGCAGAGAGCGGGATTCTGCAGAATCTTGGACTCTGAGGAAGAGGCAACACAGAAGGTGAGGCTCAAGACCATTGACAGAGGGAGAAGCAACGATTGGACTGTCCCATCGAGAGAAATGGGCTGCCTTCCTAGGCAAGATTCTCAAGGACAAATAACCTTTCCCACTACAGAGAGTTTTTGGTTAGTGGTGGTCACTGGGACTGGGATTTCCATCGCTAAGCATTGATGTCATGAAGTGTGACATCACCACTTAGTAACCACAACCCCAACAGTCCCCATTGCTGTTATTAAGCAAGGTGTGTGGGTCCTTAAGTGAGGACCTCGTCGCAACTTCCTGCCAGCATCCAACACTCAAAGCCAATGGGAAGCTGACAGGAAGCTGTCGGCCTGGGATGGCTTGCTTGCAAGCAGGCTGGCTGGTAGGTAAATGGCTGCTGCCGGGTGGAGGAGGGACAGTGAGGCACACGAGGAGCCAGGCTGAGGCAAAGCCAGGCTGAAGCCAGCTTCGGGAGGGACGCACATGGAGTGGTGAGGGAAGAAGGGGACACTCGCCTACCCAGCCAGATCAACCCAGGCGATCAATGGGGTGACAGATGTCACAATCAGATCGCTCTCACATCCACTGGGTGGGGGAGATGTAGAACAGAAGGACTTGTGATTTTCCCTTTGATTTTGTTTGTGGGAAGCCAGCAAAGGGCGCTCTCATGGCCACCACGTGACCGTGGGATGCTGCAACTCTCAGGCGTGTAGGCTGGCTCCTGAGGGCAGAGGTCGGGATGCTGTGGTTGTGCAGGGGCTGCAATGCTGGAGCGAACAAATGGCTCTTAGCTGAGCCAGGAAACGAAGGATGCAGAATGGGAGGCTCTGAGCAGGAGGTGCAGAGTATTTATTTATTGTATCCCTTCCTGTGAAAGGAAGGGCCTGGCCATAAAGGGAGAAGAGAGCAGAGCAACCCCTCTGAGTCTTTCCTCACGGGACTCCCTTATGCTTCAGGGGCTCCTGGCAAGGGAGGAGAGACCAGAACCCTCCGGCCAAAGGGAAGGCAGGAGAAGTCGCCTCAAAGATGAGATCACGGGAGAAGGGCACTCGCTTTCAAAGAAAGAAATGTGGGGGGGAGGGGGGGGGAAACATTATGGACACCTGGAAAGATTCCCTCTCATCTAAGAATGGATGGATGGATGGATGGATGGATGGATGGATGGATGGATGGAAGGAAGGAAGGAGAGGATGGGCGTGACCAGAAAGGAAGTCTGAAAGACACTCGGGACCCCCAGGGAAGGGGCATTGGGGCCGTGCCAGCAGCCAAGGGGAGAAAGGGGGAGGCGTGGCCCTCTGCTCTCATCTCAACCAGGGTGACATAGAAACAGGTGCAGGGAGAGGGCGGAGCAGCTCAGCTCCTTCACTTCTCTCCCCAAATGAGAACAAGGAAGGAAGGAAGGAAATTTAGGGTCTGTGAGCAAACCACACTAACCATTCCAGCTGAAAAGTAAAAACAGGCAAGAAACGGATAGAAGAATCAAGCCTCCGAACAAGATGAGCAGCATATAAATGTAGTAATAATTAAATCAGATTTAATGTATGTAGCAGTGACAAAATACTGGATCTGTAGAGAGCGGAAGAGTTTGTTTATTTACTTGGTTTGTAAACGGCCCAATGCCCAAGGCTCTAGAGAGAGCTCCATCTTTTCATCAATAAGAATACCCGGAAGAAAATTAACAACCAAAATACATAAAACAAAGTTAAACTGGAAAGTGCCCAATTGCAGCTCCTTTGCCCTTCCTGTGCTAGAGGATGCAAAAGGCCCTCCACAGCTTTCCATGGGAGGGGAGCTCCTAAAGGGGGGGGGGCACTACTCCAAGTCCCCCAAGTAGCCCTTGGTTATTACTTGTGAGGACACAATCACGCAGGGCTGGATTTTTCAACTTGTGCAACTTTAAGAAGTATGGTCTCCCATTCTGGGAGTTTTGTAAAGATGCAGAGTCTGAACGATCAAGAACAGCCATGCATGGAGCACCCACAGCTGCCCAACAGGAGGTGACCAGGGCTGAGCAACTGTGAGCAAGGCTGCCCAATCCAAGAACTTGTCGCAATTGGCACACAAAAGATCACGGTGGGAAACCTGGTCACAGCTGCCAATGGAGCAGGGCGTGTGAGTCCAAAGGGCTTCTAACCTGGGGTGCAGAGCTCCATCCAGAATCACCTGGACTTCCTTGGCAAAGAGGAACCTAAAGCTGCTCCATCTGGAGGTGATTCAGTAGGAACCGGTTCGTTCCCCTCCCAGGAAAGGCCCGTTTCTAAGGCCGGAGGTCTTTGGTCCAGGACGAAGAAGGACACAGGATAGGAGCCATGGATGCCTCCCCCCCCCCCACATCAGCTGGGGATTAGCAAGGAAGGATATATTGTGGGTATATGCATAATTATGTATGCATTTATTTATTTATTTAGTCATGCTTATGTAGTGTACATTGGAGGTGGAGAACCTTTGAGAACTGTCTGCAATGGGATTTCATTTGAATGTATGCCAATGAGTGTCCATTCAAATTGACCATAAAATTATTCTGAGTCTAAAGAAGGGAGGGAGTGGGGAGAGATCCAGAAAGTCTCATCTCTCCTCTCCCACCACTGACTGGAGAAGAGTGAGTCCCCCACCAACCCCTGCGAGATGGTTCAGAAGGACACCATGGTGAGGCCTAGTCAAGAAGAACTCGGAGTTCCCCCAATCTTGATCTCTTTATAAAGCCAGGCAATGTCTTGCTAAGGATTCAAATATACAGATTACTGCCATTAGAATTCCTGGTCTGCTACGAGTATTTTCACCGATTCCCTCTGAAGAAAGGCTGGCAGGGGCAGAGGCCATCAATGCATTTCAAGGCTCCATGCAAAGGGCTGGTGGGAGCCTCTAAAGGGAAATGGCTGGGGACCAATGATCTAAGGGGCCATTTTAGCCAACAAGCCCAGTAGAAAACCTCAGGAGCTCCAGACAGAGTAGAAAAAAGAATATGCTGCACTGAGAAGCCTCAGGAACGGCTTATTCTCATCCGCCATCCCAAAAAGACCAGGTTTATTCTAGAAAAGTGTCTCCAGAGGCCCCACACCAAACATTAGTATATTTTGCCTTTCAATGCCCTTCTTTGTATTTTGGGTCCTGCAGTTTCATGTGGCTCCAGGATGAAATCCTAGGGCTTCCTTTAGAGTTACAGTGTGCAGGTTGCAAGAAGCACAAGTAATCCTCGGTTAATGACTGTCACCAGAAAAGCAATCCCATTGCTAATTGCTAAGGTTGTAAAGTGGAAAATTGCAGGACTATGTCAGTGTAAGAAGTCGGTTCTAGCTACTAAGCAAATCATGCACCCACATGCTTGTGACTGCATGTGACTGCCAGCTCCCCCATGGGCTCTGCTGGTCTGAAGCACCAAAATCATGATTATGTGACCCTGAGGATGCTATTGAAGGACAGATTCTTACATCTCCTCATCCAGAACTGTTATTAACTTTGAGTATTTGCTGAGCAGGGGGTCGGTTCTCCAACCACCCACCCCCTTAGAAGTGTTCAGAGGGACAGTGTTTTAGTCTCCAATCCATCATTTCCAAAGCCATGTAATTTGTCCAGTGTGCATAATTACATCAGTTATATTTTATATCATTTGCATCAATCATACATTTGAGATGAATCACCAAATGATTTAGACCAGTTTAAATTTAATGGACATCCCTCTGTTAAAACGAGGCATCACTGTATTAGGTTTTGCCTATGTACATTTTGTCCAGAATGGCCTGGCCTCAAAGGCAGCTTATAATTCTTCTGAATCAATGACATTTTCTTGTATTGGCTTTTAGAGTTGTGATGGTCAAACGCCCAGGGACCCTGTGACCAGACTCAATTTTTTGTTTGTTTTTGTGGCAGTGATTAGGAGAAAAATATAGCTGTAACATAAAAACAAAAGCTGATTTAAGATCACACTCCTTTCAAGGCACAAGTGCATTTCCCCCCCCCCCTTTTTTTGAGCAGGAACTACAGTGTCCAGAGAGGCCCTTCTAGGAATTAGCTACTCTGTGGCTACAGGTCAGACTCTCCAAAGCAAGGGTCTCCAACCGTGGCAACTTTAAGTTCCGCAGGCAGACCCCTGCTCCAAAGGGGGCAACCTGCAGCTGGTCTTCATCCTGCCCCACTTACCTTTAGGTAGGCCATAGTGAGGAGTGGAAGCAAGGTGAAGGGCACCAGGTACAACAGAGCCGGCTGGGCTGCCCGGTGGATGCGAGATGCCACGGTTGCTGTCAAGAGCCCTGCAAAGGAGGCAAGAGGATTCACTGCTAGAAGATGCTCATTTTGACTCAGCAGAGAAATCTACTACCTCTAAAAGGCCTGGGGCAGAAGAGGAGATTTGCCTTTGCTGGCTCTGCTTTGCTACCCGTTTCCAAATAGAATCATCTGCAAATCAGAGATCTCCAACCTTGGCAACTTTGTGGACGTCAACTCCCAGAATTTCCCAGCCAGCTTTGCTGCCAATTAAAAACTAAAAAACTTCTGAGAGTTAATAAGGCTCCCAAGCTACATTTCTCAGCTAGTCATACTATTAGCTAGTCAGGCTATAGATGTATATTTAAAACTAATTAGAAATTAGGGCTATACTGGTGATCCTTGACTTACAACAGTTCATTTAGTGACTTTTCAACGTTACAACGGCACTGAAAAATGTGACATGACCGTTTTTCACAGTGACGAACTTTGCAGCTTCTCTATGATCATATGATCAAAATCCAGATGCTTGGCAACTGATTCATATTTATGATCATTGTTGTGTCCCAGGGACAATGTCATCACCTTTTGCAACCTTCTGACAAGGAAAGACAATGGGGAAGGCCAGATTCACTTAATAACTGGGTTACCCAACTTATCAATTGTAGTGATTCACTTAACAACTGTGACAAGAAAGGTCGCAAAATGTGGCAAAACTCACTTAACAAATTTCTCACTCAGCAACATAAATTTTGGGCTCAATTGTGGTCATAAGGACTACCTGCATTTTAGAAAACACCATGCTTATAAAAAAGCTAAACAAAAAACATCAAGCTACCATACCTCATGAATTTAATTATTCTATTTGGAATGCCCAGCATAAATCATCTTCTAAGTTTGGTTAAAAAGTCTACAGGTATTCTACAGGCCTGGGAATGCCATCACCAAGCAATAAAGTGTAAACGCTTTGCTTAGCAATGGCAATCCAGGCAGTTGTGTGTGTCACTGTTAAGTGAATGCCATTATGCTGGGCAATTTCATGCTGGCTTCCTACAATCAAATCATTGGGAAAGCTGGCAGGAAGTGGCAAACCCCAGGCTGTTACAATGACAAAGACGCTTTCTGCCAATTATACAGTGATCTGAAGACCTCACTCTCTTTCTGCATCTGGATTGCCAGGAGTCCCATTTGGAAACTATTTAGAAATCCACCCTGCATGTATTACGCTTATGAAAATAAGTTTGGGGTATGGATCAAGGTACCAGGCTGTAAGCTGGCTGACATTTGGCCTCTTCTCTCCGCCCTGGGCAGGAAGTCATGGCAAACCACTTCTGCAAATCTTGCAAAAAACCAGCAGGGACTTGTCTGGGCAGTCACTGGAGCCAAAAAATGACTCAAAGGCACAAAGATACATACACAAATATGAGTTAAAAGTCTATTTCTCCCTTACGTAAATGGTGTCATGTTAATGAGGTTCAGATTAACAATGCCTCAGAAAAGGTGCTTTATGGTCTGACCATCACAAAATGTTCCAACCCCCCTCCCCCAAAGTGATTGTAATCTGGGCAATTGGCAACCCACTGGCACTGATGACCATGGGTAAGTGTCCTGCAGTATATCTGCAGTTTCCCCAGGAAGTCAAGGCTTTCTATGGGGTGCCTCAGAGGGATGGGGAGACCCTGGGAAGTCAGTGCAGGTCGACTACCTGTTTTAGCACTGAAAATCTTGCTTGGATTTCACCAAGGAAGGTTTTCAGGGCTAGAGGAGAAGGACAATGTGTTTGGGCTGATTCAGGAGTGGAAGAAGTCCTTGAAGCCACATGTACACATATCTCTGCTCAGGGGCCGACCATCCTCCTTGGATCTTCAGCTTGAGGGGAGAAATATGTCCACAGCACTTCCAAGCTGTGTGCCCACCCAGGGCCTTACCTGGAACTCCATCCGCTAATTACCCCAGAGATCGCTAAATAACAGCAACTGAGAGACCCAGCATTATTAAGTGAAGGAGTGTTGTGATGTCTCATTTAATGACTACTCTCTTAACAACTGATATCCCGTACCCAAATTGTGGGTGTGTCGAGAACTACTTGTATGTGTCAAAGTTAAGCTTTGATCAACATATATAAGTTTTAAGAATTTACACTTCTTACCTTTTTTGTTTGTTTTGCACTTGGAAAAGAATCATAAACCACACTAAATTATGAACAGCGGCAAACCCAAATGAAGAGTTTGCGAGAGGGGGAGATTCAGGAAAATGCTACAAAGAATGTTGAGGAGTTTTGTAAGGGAAACATTCTTTCCCTGGAGGGATCCAATGAACACACACACACACACAACACACACACACACACAAGTTTCCAGCTGTCTTTTCCTCTTACCTACAAAGTATCCGATGAGAGTGCAATGGAAATAAGAGACTTTTTGCATCCGGCCAGAAATGTTCCCGGGTCCTGCTGTGCCACAGGAATCTCCGTTCGCCTGTTTTTTGTAGTTGTCATAACGCAGAACAAAGCAAAGCAGGAGGCCTGGCATCACAATGTCTCCGATCCCCAGCATGGAAAAATGGCTGCCCGTAGAACTGCAAAAGAGCAAGAGGAAGCCAGTTGATGAACGGGAGGCTATGGGTGTCTCTCTTGTAAGGGCAATCAGTCCTGAAAATAGTCCCCTAAGTCGAGAAGTCAAAGACAGGAAACTTTCCTACCTTGGAAAGACAAGTTTGCCAGGCAGCGACAAGCGGGGGACGTCTCGGCCAACACTGGGCCCCAGGTGAAGCTTCCGAGATAAAACGTCCAGGGGGTTGTCTGCCGGCTGTGTGGCCACTTTCACCATGACATTGCTGTTGAAGATGTAGGCAGAGAAGAAGACCTGGAGGGGAGAAAGAGCGAGGCTGAACTCCTCACAAGCCAACTTGGGACCTGCAGCAGGGAAGCCAAAGGGGACTGGCAGATGCACCCACCAGATCTCAGGGACCAGGCTGAGCAGCCCTGTTGCTGGTGGGAAAGTCATACAGAAATCTTCTGTGGGCAAATTAAACAGTGACCCTTGTGTCCACTTGCATCATTCATCTCTATCTATGACTTGGTAGCCCTTCCTTAAATAGAAGAACTTAACTAGTCAGCAGGAAACAAGGAAGTGGGAGGCTGGTCCAGCTTATAACTACCCTTTGAGGGACACTGAAAAATAAACAGCCCAGCTTCCAAGAAGGCAGGTCTTCACAGAGAGGCAACTCTGCAAAACTCAACAGCAAACTAGAGACTGTGCCAGGAGTTTCACCCCCAAACAACGGATCCCTGCTGAAGATCTGCCCAGCCCTCTTTGGGCATTCCTCACTGGTGTTGCTTCAGAGATTTGGAAGGTGAGGCCCTGTGTCTCTAAGGCAGGGGTGTCAAACTTGATTTCATTGAGGGCCCAATCAGGGTTGTGTTTCACCTGGGGAGGGGGGGCAGCCAGGGGAGGGGGCAGCTCAATGTCACTCATGTCAGGGCGCTTCTGCCGGCCAAGCACTTTGCCAGTGAAAATGGGCTCCCGAACTCCATTTTTGGCTCAACTGGCCTCCTGCAACCCTCTGCAAGTGAAAACAGAGCTCTTCCCCAAGCTCTGTTTTCGCTGGCAGAGGCACCATAGGCTGGTCCTTCACTGTTTCCAGGGTGGTCCCGTGGGCCCAATGTAAGCACCCTGTGGGCCAGATCCGGCCCCCGGACCTTGCGTTTGAGACCCCTGCTCTAAAATCTAGGAAAGAGAGAAGGAAAATGACTTGATGGGAATGTCCCTTAGTGCCTGCAAGCACAATAAAGTAGCAGCTACCAAAGAGCTGGTTAAGGGATTTTTTTTAAGCGTTACTGTGCTTCCATTCCAGAAACTCCAGCAGCTTTGCTTTCCATGAAGTCACAGCTGTTGATATGATATGCCTAATACGGTCTTTCAAGCTCAAAGGAACAAATAAATAAATAAACGGAAGAGCAAATGTTTAGAATTAAAATATGTTAGATTTTTATGGCAAGCCTGGTTTATGATGCACATCATGTAGCAGCTTTTTATTTCCCAAACTCTGAAGTGCATTAAGATGTATACATTAAGATTTAGCTCCCCTAATGAAGATTGCAGATCCTTCCACACTTTTCCCAGCTGAAGGGAACATGAGAGCCTCAGGGGAATGTCTATGGGGGGGGGGGGAAATGAACATACATTTTATATAAATGAAAAGGCATTTTGACACTGATAAATGCAAAGCATTTTGAAATATAATGCCTGTAGAGGCATTCCATAACACCCAATAAAAGTAGCTGTGATGTTAAATTCTGCAAGCCAAATTCTAAAGCTGGAGGAATGTTATGCTTGTGGTAACAGATGCAGATATATCTAGAAATACAGATATGGATTCAAAAACTCACCCAAAAGACATCATAAATTAATAGCCCTGATAGCAGCAGGCAGGAGACCTTAAGGCTCGGCAGCCGGACGAAGGCAATCATTGCTACACAGAGGCCCATGGCCAGAGCTGCGAAAAGAACGAATGAAATCAGACCTGCATTGTCAGGCAGAAAAAGAGGCATGGGTGAAAAGAAAAATCTTTGGTGGAGAAGGCCCAGGGCAGAAATATGCCAGCTGGTGTGGTTGCTGGACCAGGCGCAGGGAACCCCTGAGGCTTCTGAGGGGCCTTGAGCAGGCAGCTTCTCCCAGATCAACCCCCTCCCAGGGGGCCCAGGGTCAGAGAAAAGAGGCTAGCAGAAGGAACCCTTCACTCTGATGCCTTGAGCTCCTATATGAAGCATGAGAGACAGGTAGTCCTCAACGTATGACCATAACTGAACTTGTAACTGGGCCTTTTTTGCAGCGGTCATTAAGCGAACACATAGTTGTTGTTGACTGAACTAATTGTTCGCTACGGGATGAAAAAAGCTGGAAGTAAAAACCAGTTTCTTCTCCCCCCCCCCCCGCCAAAAGCCCCACCACAAATCAGAGTCACATGCATGCAGGCTGCTGAATGCCACAACGCTCTGAGGTGACCACACCTGGGGAAGGAGATGTTGGAACTTTGAATCAGGATCCTAAGTCCACTGTGATTTTGAATGGTCACTAAGTGAACGGTCCTTAAGTCAAGCACTACTTGCATATAGTATGGTAAATAAACCCTCAACTTAAAGCAACAGCTAAGATGTCCAAATCAAAACTGGGGAAATTTACCAGGATCTACTCAGTGCCTCCCTCCTCAGCAGCCAACTCATTTAGTGTAGCGACTGTTTGCCCCTTTCAAATCTCAACCAAGCCAAATATCAGGCAAAAGTGTATCTTTCCAAGTAGTGCTGCCGAAAAGGATATTCAACTGAAAGAAGCCCAGGCCTCCACTTCATTTCACGGGCACTGCTCAGCAGCCCGACACAAGGGCAGCATTGACCTTCTGCACTTGGACAGAGCTGAGGGTTTGAGATAAGGAAGGAGCAGCTATGAGAGCCCAGAATTACAGAATAACAGAGTTGGAAGGGACCTTGGAGGTCTTCTAGTCCAATCCCCTACTCAAAAGCAGGAGACCTGATATCAGGTGTCCAACCTTGGGAACTTTAAAAACCTGTGAACTTCAACTCCCAGAATTCCCCTGGCTGGTTTGGGAATGCTGGGAGTTGAAGTCCAAAGGTCTTAAAAGTTCCTAAGCTCGGATGCCCCTATTCTATACCATTCTGAACATATGGGCTGTCCAACCTATTCTTAAAAGCGTCCTTCCCAGGTAGCCCAACTCTGCAAGACAAAGCAGCGGGAGAACATTTCTAGTGCTTTAATTTCCAGCTTGCTTGGCAGCTATTTTGGATACCAGCTTTGAGTACCAGCTATTCCCCTGCTTATTTTCTAGAGGCTTTAATTCTGTTCCCCATTTGGTGGTGCCATTAATCTTGGGGGAGAAAATATGACTTGCCGTGGCTTGTGTCGAACATAGTTTAGTAAAGACAAACATGTTTAACTGCTGGCAATCAAGTGCCTTCCTGAGGCCCAAGCCTGCTACCTCTGCAGTCTTCCTCCCTAGGCACAGAAGGCAAGAAATGTGATCATCCCTTCACGCCTTCGTGCAACCTTATTTTAATAATCTGTCAATTTCAGAAGCTTTCCCGTTGTGTAAAGGGCTAGTGGAAAACACACTTTTTCATTACTTATTAAGTCACAGTGGGTTTCCTCAAGTCAGTCAAGAGTGCTGCTCTGGATGATGTTTTAAACACCCTTAAATATTTCAATTAAGAACCAGCCTTCCAGAATCCCCGAAGAATAAGGCAAGCTGCTGGTTCAACACTTTCAAAATGAATTTTAAATCCCACTGTCAGTGTTAGCAGTTCCCGTACACAAATCTTCTATTTCTGTGTTCTGTTACTTTGCAAGCCAAACATTTAAATCTATAATCTTTGCAAGCAAGTCACTCCCCACTGTATTTCAGCGCTTTCAAGTAGAAAAACCAGAATAAAACATGGCAGGATGCTGAAGTCCATCTTAGCTTTATGCACAAAACCAGGCGGCTGGTGCACCTTAAGGAGGTACCTATCCGGTCTCTGCTTGAAGATTGACAGCAGTGGCTAAATGGCCCCACTGTTAAGACTCCTCAAGACAAGGAAAGTTCTTCATGTTTCTTCAACTTTCAGAACCAGTTAACAAAATCTCCTTGGTCTTCATGGGACACAACATGAATTTGTCCCATAAAGTGTTGGCTTTCTGTTCACTAGTCTAAGCCAGACAGTTACTTCACCTCTTCTTGTAAAACTTGCTTTCTATACTGCTGACTCTTCATCCTGTGTTTATTTAAATTTTGTCTACATCATTTTTAAAGTGCACCAATGGGCAACGGAATTACAAAAAATGTATCTTTTGTTTGTAAAATTGTACAATGCCTTCAACGTTAACAGAGAAGGAAATACACCTATTCAAAGTTCCAGTAATTTAAGGATAAGAACTTATTCAAAGGGATTTGGGTAAAAATATAAGGAAGGGGAGACAAAACAATTGTGACAAGGTGCTAGGGACCACAAAGACAAGCAGAAGACCTGCATAATGGACAGAAGACAGACTTTTCAGAAGGAGAGACAGAGGAGAATTAAGGGAGATTTCAATTTGCACATCTGCTCAAAAACTAGCTCATGCATGATTGCAAACTCTTTAAATTCCTCCCTGGTCCTGCTGACTTTTGTTTTCCAGAAGGCCAGAGAGAAGACAAAGGTCTTGCTTCTCCTCAATCTGATCCTAATCAAAAGGAAGAGTTGGCAGAAGAGGAAAAAACAGTGGAAATCTGGGCAGAAATGAGACCATCTTGGGGTTCAAGAGTGAGAAAATGGAGCACGGCCATACACGCCTGTTAGATTTCAGGAGACCAACAACTTCAGAGAAATACTAGGCAGAATCCCACAGACAAAATTTCTCTTAAAGGGAGTGCAAGAGAATGCCTCATAAACTCAGATGCCAAGGAGGAAAAAGCAGCTCAGGAACCCACCCAAGAAGCTTTTGACCAAAGGGACAAGGAGACGGGTGTCAATCCCCACGGAAGCCTGTCAGACAGCAGCTAACGCAGGAAGTGGGGACCCTGAAGGGCCAAAGGAGCAGAACTCACGAGGGAAGCCGAAAGCAATGAAAGCCCCTTTTGGCTCCAGGGGTGGTGAAAGCAGGAGGAGGGAGGGGTGAGCGGCTGCTAAGAGGAGAAGGCAAGATGGGGAGAGGCCCCAATTGCTACTTGGCTTCCAGCTTCTCCTTCGGGGGAATTGCCCTCAAAGGGTTCTAAGTACAAAAATGAGGGAGTGGTGAAGTAAAGGCAGTAAAAAGATGATGATGAGGGATCCCAATGAATCCATTGCTGCAAATAGGTTCAGGGCTCCAAAATTAGATCCTCCAAGAACCACAAAGGGACCTGTGGGTGTTGAGTTGAAGGATTTTTTGGTGCAGCTGAGGAACCATGGAAGAAGGAGCGTCAGAAGTTCGGAGAAGGGGAAAGCTGCCCCACTTTCAAAAAGGGGGGGGGAGAGAGAACGGAGAGCAAAGCACCATCCAGACTGATGTGATTCCTGACCAAAACTCTGGAACCGATGACTAAGCAGTTGGCTTGTGTGCACTGAGAGAAGAATGCATTGCTTGGCAAAAGCCCGCGGGGGTTTACAAAGAGTAATCCTGCCAAACCAACCTCATCTCCTTTTCTGACAGTCACCAGTTGAGCTGACCCAGGAATGCAGCACGCTCAACGTGTTTTAATTTTTGGAAAGCCTTCAACCCGTGTGACTCCAGCAGAGAAGATGGCATATGTAGGCTGGTCTGCTCTATTAAAAGGCAGAGCAGGATGAATATAATAATCATATCTCAGGCAAGTTACACATTAGTGGGTCCATGTGAAGCTGGGAAGAGTGGAGCAGCACTGGCAACTCCATGCTAACGACCTGGAGTATGTAATGGGGTAACATTTGGAAGCAGCTCAGGTAGATACTTCCCTAAATCGCTGAACTAGAACAGGATGGAGAAGGTTTATGGCACATACTTGCAAAATTTTTACCTCTATACTTTTACAGCCATTCTCAGTAAAAGTGGTTTTAGTCTCCCTGGGCGTTGATTTCCTGGCCTGGTCCACTTCATGGGCTTATTTACAAATGACCAAGAGAAGAGGTTAGAACACGTGACTGCAGGTAGTCCCAAAGGTGCTTTTTCAGGAGGCAATTGGACTTTCTTGTTTTTTTTTCCTTTTGAAGACGTTTCAGGGCTACAGATAGTCCTTGACTTATGACAAGTGAGCCCAAAATTCCCACTGCTAAGTGAGACAGTTGTTAAGTGAATCTGCAGTTGTTAAATTAGTAAGACGGTTGGTAAATCAATCTGGCTTCCCTGTTGACTTTCCTGGTCAGAAGGTTGCAAAAGGGATCACGTGACCCTGGGAAGCTGCAAGCGTCATAAATATGAAGTCAGTTACCAACTGTCTGAATTTAGATCACATGACCACGTGGAGGCTGCAATGGTCGTTAAGTGTGAAAATCGGTCATAAGTCACTTTTTTCAGTGCTGTTGCATCTTCAGTCACTAAATGAACGGCTGTAAGTCAAGGACTGCCTGTATTAGATTTGCAGAAATAGAAAGATGGAAAGTATCTCAGAAAACAGTCAATTGGAACCCTGGGCAAATGCAAGCCAAGTGAATTTCAAGGAGGACCAAGGAGGAGTCCCAAACTCTTGTGTGAAAAACTACATGTGTAACAGAGGAGGGAACTCTAATTGATAGTTGCACACGCAAAAGGATCTTGGTATCTTAAGGGGATCATGTCCAGCTGACCGTGAGTCCATAACGTGTGGCAACTATAAAGAGAAAAAAGCAAATGTGATTCTAAGCTGCATCAACAGAGATACAGGTCAACAACAGCGTCCAGAATAACAGAGCTGGAAGGGACCTTAGAGGCCTTCTAGTCCAACCCCCTGCTCAAGCAGGAGAACCTATACCATTCCAGACAAATGGTTGTCCAGTCTCCTCTTAAAAACCTCCAGGTTTTCTTTCTTGGCTCTATGTTCTGCTCTAGAACATTGAATTCTATTCTGGTATTAGATTTTGAGATCGATTCTAGGTAGCGGCAGATATTTCTCTCTTGGGGCACGATAAGAGTATATCTGCTGAATATAACTCTGCTTTGGCAACAGGAAGGGCATCCGGCCAGTAAACACTCAGCTCCATTCAGTTGCCTAGGCTCTACTCCGCAAGGGATTACAGGGTCATTAAAACAAGATGATTGGATTTTGAGAAGGACAATGACAATCTCAATTGTTTTTGGAAAACAAGAGGCATACAAAACAAAAAGGATGGGAAACGTTTGGAGACACCGCCAGGCAGTGTCTGGAAAAGAAAAAACGAAAGGGAAATACAATCACCGTCTTCAAGTCTCTGAAAAGCTGTCACAAACAAGGTGCAGAAGCAGCATTCGGAGTTATACAGAATGCAAGACAAGAAGCAATGGGTTTAAACTGCAGGTGGAATAGATTTCATTTGAGCATCAAGAAGACTGTCCCAACATTAAGAGTTGTTGAAAAATAGAAGGTGCCGCCTAGAGGGCTGATGGACTTTCTTTTGCTGGAGCAGCTTCAACAAAGGCCATCTCCTGGCAATGCTGTAAGTTACTGCTTGGGCAGCCAGTTGCACTAAAGGATCTTGAAGGTCCCACAAACCCTTATGGTTCTATCATTCTACAATAGTATACTTCTTTATTTAAAGATGATGCTTCACTGAAAGTGCTGAGAGCAGCTTTCTACTCACACCCTGTCCTTGTGGTATCAAGTATTTACAGGCCTTACAGGCTTCACCTCAAATGCAAATATTAGACGAGGTGCAATAAAACAGCAGCATTTATACAGGAAAAAAAGTGGGTAGCTCTCAATGCCTGAAATTCTTCATTCTCTGAAGAAAGATCCAGGCTGAAGAACTGATAAAGAACCGACCCCCCCACCCAAGGAATACAGAAGCAGGCTACGCAATAGGCTTATTTGGTCAGGATGTTATACCACAAGCCCTTCTGAATCCAAAACTATTTGCTATAAAAACCATTTGACTAGCTAACTGAAATATGCCAGTTGGGTAATAAGGAACTGTCTTTCCACGCTTGTTCCTCATGTTGGGCCCTGAGGAGGGAAAGAAGACTCACTAAAGGACAGTGAGGGTGAACCTTTTCAGCACCGAGTGCCCAAACCAGAACGTTTGTGCATGTGGGCATGCTAGAGCGCCAGAAACCCAAAGATCAGCTGGCCAGCACCCACCTGCCTGTTTTTTGGCTGTTTTCTTGCCATATTTCAGGCTGGTTTTTTGGACCATTTTCAGGGCCAAAAACAGCCCAGAAAACAGCCTGAAATGGCCCGAAAATGGCCTGGTTTTTTTTGGCTGTTTTCAGGCCATTTTCCAGTGCTCCAGTGCCCGTGAACACCAGTTGGTGACAGTGCAGATGCCCACAGAGAGGGCTCTGTGTGCCATCACAGCTATAGGGGATTCTGGTCACTGGAAATCCACTTGTTCCCAAGTTCAAGCCAGAACTAACTAAAAATTCAAACCCTGTTTGGAACAAAAGTCACCAAATGCTTGGGGTAGTAGAGACGTACGGGTGATAACATGCCATCATTTCCCACAAATTCTGGCTTTTCCTACATTGGAAATGTAGACATGCTTTGTCTTTCTATTCTAAAAATGAAGAATGGAGCCCATGTGCTGCAAAACACAGCCACTTTTGCCTGCCTGAGCTGGAAGGGCACTTTCTGCACTCTGAATGGAGACTTTGCTGCCCCTCTGCATCTAGTAATCCAGAGGCTGCACCCTCACTCAACATTAGAAGGGTTTCGGATTAACAATATCCTTTTTAAAAAGTGTTTTGCAAGTGTTTTGAGTTCAGAATAGCATGTCTCAGACTCCAAACAGGCCTGTTTTTGAAATACTTTCAGAATGAGACAAGCAGCCCATTTTCCTGCTTGAAAGAGCTGAATCGGGGCATTTCAAGTTTGAAATAGGTTGTGCTCAAAGTGCCTGCATATCTCTAGATAAGCGTTACTCAATCTCTGCAGCTTTAAGGTATGTGGACTTCAACACCTGCCCAGAATTCCCCAGCCAAGCAATGTCTGGAGAATGCTGGGAATTAAAGTCACATATCTTAAACTTACTGAGGTTGAGAAACGCTGATCTAGGTGGCCCATCAAACCTAATGGAGAAAAAGCAAACAAAACAAGTGAAGGCAAGTCTGTGCAAGAATGCTGAGGTTCTCTGAACCCAAGGACTTTTACTCCAATCCAGGAATGAATGTTGTATAAAATACTCCATTCCACAAAAAAAAAAGGGGGGGGGAGGAGAGGTGAGGGGAAAGTCAGGAAGGTCTGACCCTTCTCATTTGCATCTTCTGCACTTACCATCCATGAGCAGCCAGTGCCCAGTTAAGACCCAGATAAGGACGAGCATCACAGACAGCGAGAAAGAGAGCAGCTCTGCAGCAGTGAAACGCCCACAGCATCCAAAGGAAATCCTGGAAAATATGGCCACAAGTTTAAGATCCTCTCAACAAAAGGAGAGAAAACATCTCCAACTCCCATTTCTATGGACTCCAAGAGCACCAGAACATAAGAAAAGTGTCCCTCAGAAAGATCAGTCCTCCAAAAAGCACTAAAAGGGAACCACAAAAGCTCTTTTTGGATCAGCCATTAGTTTTCTGCCTTTCAGAAGGTGTAAAAAATATGATTGTATAATAGCAATAGCCCTTAAAACTTATATACCGCTTCACAGTGCTTTACAACCCCCTCTAAGCGGTTTACAGAGTCAGCCTGCTGCCCCCAACAATCTGGGTCATCATTTTACCCACTTCGGATGGAGGGAAGGCTGAGTCAACCTTGAGCCTGGTGAGATTTTAATTGCCAAATTGCAGGCAGCCAGCAGGCAACAGAGGTAGCCTGCAGTACTGCACTCCAACCACTGCACCACCGTGGCTCATAATGGTGCCATACCTACATTCTAAAGCAAAGTACAATAAAAAACCAAACTTGCTATTAAAATTACTAGACTAATTTGGAAGCTTAAACTTAAAAGCTCTTTTCTACTACACTTCTCTTGAATTATTTGTTTTCAACCAGATATAAAATAAAAACTAAATTAATTGCAAAATTGATGTTGTACCCACTGAGCTATAAATAAATTTAAATTTTAAACTCTGAAAGCCTCTCTACAGTTGTGTGACTTAAGATATGTAACCAAATTTAAAAATTAATTATGCAATACTTTAAAAAGCATAAAAAACAACAGATATACATAGTTGGCTGCTAAGATCAAGATAAAAAACAGAATAATTTTAGCCCAATTAGCATTAACTGGATATCCATTCCCACAGTACTGCACACACAATAAGCCAGAGATAAGGAACTATGGCTCCTTTATGACTTGTGGACTTCAACTCCCAGAATTCCTTAGCCAGCATGGGAATTGAAGTCCACAAGTCATTCTGGGATTACTGGGAGGTGGTCCACAAGTCATAAAAGGACCATAGTTACCCACTCCTGTATGTAAGCAATGAAAGAATGTTTGTGCAAAAATACCTGTACAGAACCGACTTGCACAGCCTGGTAACTTTAGGAGCCCTGATGGTGCAGTGGTTAGAATACAGCATTGCAGGCTGACTCTGTCCATAGCCAGGAGTTCAATCCTGACTGGCTCAAGCTTTCCCTCCTTCCAAGGTGGGTAACATGAGGACCCAGATTGTTGGGGGCAATGGGCTGACTCTGTAAACTGCTCAGAGAGGGCTGTAGAGTTCCCCAAGATTTTCAGCTTTGTGGACTGGGTGGGGGGTGTTCCACATGTGCGATGGGCCATTTGCACCAGTAGAAGGCACGCACAGCCATTTGTGCAAATGGAGTGTGCGCGAGTGGGGATGCATGCACACTTGCCCACCACTTCCGTGGCCTGGTTCTGAAAGGCTCAGGTAGGCCCTGGCCCAGGGGTTGGGGACCCCTGCTGTAAAGCACTATGAATAATGTGTAAGTTCTAAGCGCTATTGTTCTTGCTAACTTTACAAGTCCTGAGCGAATAAAGGTTGCACTTATTAGCTGTGCAGATTAGGAGAGCCTGCTCAATTGCTCCTAGTGGCCCTTTCTATGAGCTCCGTGTGCTCCCAACAGAAAGGAGCGTTTGAAAGATGTCCTCCCTGAGCCTTTTTCTCTTAAGAGAATATTTGCAGCTTTATAAGCAGGGCCAGAGAATCTGTTACACATCTCCCACTTCAGGATAGTATCTCATTTTCATTCTCTTTATAAATAACCCAAAGCAGCAAACAGATCTAAATTCTATACTCTTCCTATTTTCTCCACAGTGGGTTGTGGATTAGGCTGAGAACGTGACTGGGCGAAGATCACCCAGCTGGCTTTTTTCTACTTTTAAAATTATTATTTACTGTTTCTATTTCTTTCTTTTCTATTCATTTCAGAGGAGAGCATGGATCCAATCGATCATGTATACTGGGGCATTTTTTCCATGTCCCTGCCCAAATTGAAAAGCCAATGCTAAATGATGAGGAAGAACTGTGACTGTTATTCTCTCCCTAAAGGGCATGGCAACCCACAGAAGATGCGTCATCACAAGGAGAGGGTCTGCTTGTGAAATGAAGGTGGGTTGGACAGAAGATGGGCTTTTGGACTGTGTCCCCACATGAGTATGTCCCCCAGACTTGTTCATCTCTTTCCCCTGGACTCCAGGAAGTTCCTTCTCCTTTAAGTAGGCCTTTGATGTCTTTTATTTGAGTAGTTAACTATTTTTACTTATGCTGTCATATTGAAAAATTGTTATATAAAGATGTTTTTACACAACAATGTTGTGGGATTAGACCAACATTATTGACAGACAGATATTTCTTTCAGTCTTGATAAAGGAGAATATTTGTAGCGCAGGGCTGAAATGAGGGGTCCTTGGTGCTCTCTGAGCTCGGTTGTTTTCTTGCAGACATTTCATTACCCAAACTGGGTAACATCTTCAGCGATAGTAAAGTGAGGTTTGTTCTCAATTTATATTCTAGTGGCTTGTCCTATCCGTGTTGGTGGAAGTGGTATTGGAGGTTCTTTGGTTGGACTGTTACTGTTATTTCGCAGTTTCTTGATTGGAATACTGTGTACTTCTTGATTGTTAGTCTGATGTTAATCTTGGTGCCAACCTATGCTCATCTGGGTATTGACTGCTGGTAGGGAGGTGTTTTGGTCTCTTTTATCTAGGATGGTGACAGTTAAGTTGATGTTACCTAGTTTGGTAACATCTGCAAGAAAATGGCAGTTGGACTGCATGTTTCGTAGAGATGCTTGGGAGGAGTAACACGTGGGTATTACCCAAGCCTTCTTGCCTATTGGAGACTGAGGTATTAATCTTCTGGAGCCACACCTCCGTACTTCCTCCTACTCTCCCAGATTATCGATGGATCGTAGCAGAAACTGAAAGGAAGGACAAACAAAAAACAGCCAACACATATCCTTCCTAATAGCTAATGCTGAACCTGGACTCGCTCAGCCCCCCCCCCTAGGCACGGGGGCACCCAGACGGGAGGGAAGTGACTCCTCCCACGCATCTCTACGAAACATGCAGTTCAGGTAAGTCCAACTGCCAGTTTCCGAAGAGAAGGCGTGGGAGGAGTAACACATGGGTATTACCCAAGCCTACTTGCCTATTGGAGACTGAGGTATTAATCTTTTGGAGCCACACCTCCGTACCTCCTCCGACTCTCCCAGATTAACCGATGGATCGTAGCAGAAACTGAAAGGAAGGACAAACAAAAAACAGCCAACACACATCCTTCCTAATTGCTAACGCTGAACCTGGACTTGCTCAGGCCCCCCTAGGCGCGGGGGCGCCCAGACGGGAGGGAAGTGACTCCTCCCACGCATCTCTACAAAACATGCAGTTCAGGTAAGGCCAACCGCCAGTTTCCGAAGAGAAGGCGTGGGAGGAGTAACATGTGGGGCATACCAAAGCTAGATGTCCTGGGAGGGATTCGCTGGGCCTGAGCCCCCCGGGGAATCCAGAACCCCCTGCAGGACCCTCCTGCCGAAGGCAGCCTCCGTGGAGGCAAAGGCGTCC